AAAAAATCTAATTTGTCATCACTTTTTTTTTTTTTTGGTACCGGGGATCGAACTCGGGTCCTTGTGCTTGCACAGAAGGCAGCAAAACCACTGAGCTAAATCCCTGGCCCTGTCATCACTTTTTAAGAACTTGCTCACCACAGTTCTTCCAGTCTTTATTCCTACACTTCATCACCATTCCATAACTCCCTTCTCCAACCAATCCTAGGTTGTCATATATTTCCATTTTAATTTAAAAGCAGTAGGAATTTATCTTGGATTTCCTCAAATCCTCTAGAGTGGATGGATCTGAAGATCTCCACCTCGCCGCAGCAAATGTGGGGCGACTTGCATGTGCCCCGGGGCAGAGGGTACCATCCCCTCCTTCCGAGGGTCTGGGGGACCACAGGGGCCATGCTGCTGTCGCCACAGCAACCACCCCTTCCATTCCCGGGGTTCCGGAGCTGCAGGCCCTAGGCAAGAGCGTGCCTGCAGCGGCCCCCGGGGACGCCAGCGGGTGAGGAGAAGGCCTAGCAGCTTTTGACCTTCAACTATTCTTTGGACTCTTGCTGAGGCAGAACAAGAGGACTGTTTGTGCCCGGAAGGGCCAGAGTCGACTTTCCCTCCTCTTGCCTCACCGCTGCCCTTGGCTCCTGGCAACTCGGGCCTATGACCCTGAACAGCAGGACATTCTCAACATGGCCTACTTTTGTAAAGGGGGAAAAATGGCTCCAGCCCACGAGGACTGGACTCTGTCGGGGTTTCAGAAGCCAAATTGGAGACAGACTCAGCAAGCAGAAAGTGTCTTTCTTCCAGGCCATTCTTGCTCCAGCTGGGACCTGAGCGTGGATCCTGGGGCCGGGTGAGTGGGAGGGAACAGACCCTCCCCTGGATGCTGTCTCCTCCCTTCCCTCTCCTCCCACACTTTGCCTCAGAGGACATGACTGCCTCAGGGGTAAAATACAGTAACCCCAATCTCATGAGTTGTCCTGAGGATTAAATGACAAATTGTGCTAAACTTCCCAGTGAGGAGCCTGGCACAGAGTAGGTCTTCAGTACATAGTAGGCCTACTCTGTTGCCTAGCACGTTGAAAATCACACTGGGGGAAAAACAAAAACAAAATCTACTGGATATGAAGAAGGAGAGAGGAAGAAAGAGGAGTCTGAATTGGCTTCACTTCTGGCTCACTGTGACCTTTTGTCAAGTTCCTTCTGTCTCTGAATAATCTCTGAAGATCTGCCTGTTTTCACAATTAAAAGGTAGAGGAATGAAGGGCTCTCCTGTGTTTTCCAAATTCCTCATGGTAAATCTGAGAGGCAGCACGGGATAGGGAGGTAGCAGTGAGAGCTCAGACTGATGGTCAGACAGATCTGGGTTCACGGCCTGACTCTGACATGCACTGGCTGTGTGACCCTGGACACGTTCCTTAATCTGACTGGGTGAGGGTGACCAAGCTCCTCAGTCTGCCCAGGCCCAAGGATGTTCCCAGGATGCACACTCAGTGGTGAAATTGGGCAGTCCCAGGCTGGCCAGGATGAGCTAACAAAGCTCCCTGCTTCAGGGATTCCTTGCCAGAATGAGTCCAGGATGGCAGAGACGTTCTGTCTTTTTCCTTGCTTTATTTACATGTCCTAGGATAGTGATTGGCCCAAAATAGGGACTCATGGATGGATGCATGCATGTGTGGGTGGGTGGATACATGGATGGGTGGATGAGTGGATAGATGGGTAGGTATATGGATGGATGGATGGATGGATGGATGGATGGATAGAGTTCCTGTGAGGATCAAAAGAGAAAATACAAAGTGCTTGGGACCTCACACGTGGCAATAGCGAGGGTCACTGAGTTCAGTGTGCAGATGAGGATCTGAGGCTCACAAAGGACAAGGTCAACTATTCAAGGTTGTAAAAGTTGAAGAAAGAGTTGGGGTGGGGACCTAGGTCTTGCTTTTTCCAAAACTGCTCTTTTCCCATTCTCATACAACCCATAAAATCAGCAAAGGATTGAGAAAAAAGTTGCTGGCTCTAGAATAGCAATGTTTGAGGTGGAAGAAGAGCATTTGAAAATGTCGAGGAGGCTCCTAGATTAAAAAAGGGGACTTAGGACCAAAGCAGGGCCAAAGAGCAGAGGTGGAGGGAGGAGCCAGAGCAACACCGAAGCTTTGCCCAAGACAAAGAGGGACAAGAACAGATGGAGCTCAGTTTCTCCAGTGTGCAAAACTTCAAAGATGAAGGCTAGGGATGTAGCTCAGGGACTCAGCTCCTGCCTGAGCTGAGGTCCTGAGTTTGATCCCCAGTACCAAAAACAAAACAAAACTTCAGAGATGAGCTAGATGTCCTTGAGAGAATGGGGAAACTGAGGTCCACAGAAGAGGAGCAACCAAGACAAAGAAATGAGGTTTTAACAGAGGGCTTATTCTGAGGAAGGCAGAGAAAAGAACTGACAATGTGGCGATAGTAACAGTAGCAACTATTTTTTTTTTCAGCTCATCATTTATGTCAGTCATTGTGCTAAGTACTTTTTTTTTTTTTTGTACTGTACCAGGGATCGAACTTGGGTCCTTGCGCTTGCGCAGCAGACAGTGAAACCACTGAGCTAAATCTCCGGCCCTATGCTAAGTACTTTTTGAGCATCATCTGATGTAATCTTCTCATAGAAGACTTTTTTTTGGTGTGAAGGCCCTGTGGTTTGAACCCAGGGCCTTCACATTGAACTACCAGTTTTTATTTTATTTTATTTTATTTTATTTTATTTTGTGACATGATCTCTTGCTAAGTTGCTATGCTGCTCAGGATGGGTTTGAACTGGGAAATCCTCTTGTCTTAGCCTCCCAGAGTGCTGAGATTACAAGCATGTGATTACAGGCATGCTGATGCCTGGCTAGAAGATACTTTTATGCCCATTTTGCAGCTGAGGCAACTGAGGCTCAGATAAGTGAAGGTCATGTGCCAAAACACCCACTTGGTGAGAAGCAGAGTCCAAGCCAGCCTGATTCCCATGTCACTGTGCCTACACACCTTACTGTGCTGGCAAGACACATGATCAGAACAACCCAAGGGCCATACAGGTAAAGAAAAACAGCCAATGTTTCAGCATTTTCAAAAACCTAAAATGCAATATCTATGGGAGTTTTTAGAGTTTTTAGTGGAAATAGAATTGAAAAGGAAAACTAGCCCTAAGTTAATTCTCTTTGGAAGAAAACACATACTATGAGTCAAATTTGATGCTGATGATCTAGCAACTGTGTGTATCAAAATGCAATATAAATCGCTTCTCGGCCTTTTGGCTAAGATCAAGTGCAAAATGCAATATAGCTGGGGATTTAGCTCAGTGGTGCCGCCACCTGCCTTGCAAGCGCAAGGTCCTGAGTTCGACCCCTGGTACCAAAAAAAAAAAGCAATATAAATGCATGAGATTCTCATGAGAAGCAAGAGCCAGATTGTAGGCTCCAACAGACCCAGCCTCAGGTAAAATCATTCATGCATGTGGATAATGAACTTCTGAACCTGTGTATACATAGCTTGGTTATTAAGCCAACCATTTCCTTGTTGTTGCTGATGTTTTTATTAATGTTGTACTTTTTTAAAACAATGAATCCAATTTATTAATGTTATATTTCTCCTGTTTTATGCCAGTTTCTTCAAGCATGCATGCTTGAAGTATCCATCCAAAAATATGAAGCAGGGGTGGGGATTTAGCTCAGTGGTTTCGCTGCCTGCTGCGCAAGTGCAAGGACCCGAGTTTGATCCCTGGTACCAAAAAAAACCCAAAATATGAAGCAGCTGGGGTTATTATAGTACACATGCACACACACATGCATACATGTTCATGATTATAATATACATAAGCATGGAACAAGAGGAGAAACAACATATCTGGGTCCCTGTCACTTGCCATGTACATGAAGATGCCAGGATAGATGTGATTCCCTGCAATCCTCTCAGCTGCTGTAGGAGTCAGGGACCATTGTTACCCTCATTCTACAGCCAGGGACTGAGGTTCTGGGGGGAGAAGTCACTCACCTAAGGTCACTCTGCCAGTGTGGGAGAGCATTCGGATCTGACCCACTTCCTGCTGAGCTCCCTGACTCGCACTGTAGGAAAATGTAGGCAGCCTGCAATCAGCTGGCACTTGACACTTTTCTGCTTGTCTTTCAGGCTTGTCTCTGTTTGCTGATAACCTCTCTTGTGCCCCAGAAAGCAATCTGAGGGAGCTTATACCTCTGATTGCTACATAGCAAAGAACACAAAAGACTTGTTCTAAGAAAATCAAAAAGTCACAGGTAAGGCATAAGAATGAGGAATAGAAATAAGCTCTTCCAGTTGCAGCACATCACTAGATTTTATGAGTCGGTATTTTCAGAGTTTAACTAGTGCGTGTGTGTGTGTGTGTGTGTGTGTGTGTGTGTGTGGTACTGGGTATTGAACCCAGGGCTTTTACACTGATCTACACCTCCAGCCTTTTTTACTTTTTATTTTGAGACAAGGTCTTGCTAAGTCACTAAGTGGCCCAGGTTGGGATGCAACTTGTGATCATCCTGCCTCAGCCTCCTAGAGTGCTAACCCTAGTCCTATTCCTAACCCTAACCCTAAGTGCCGGGACCACCATGCTTGGCAGTTAGCTTTAAAATGGAATAGAGGCTATAAAAGCTCCAGACCCAGGCTACTCCCTCCCCTCCCCCAAATGAACATTGACTGAGTACTTGCCTGGTGGCCAGTTCCTTGCTGAGCACTTGCTATTCATCACCTCTTTTGAGACTCAGAGTCCCCCAGCCAGAGGCGAGATAAGATCTCCATGTTGCCGAGAAGAAACTGAGGCTTGGTGAGGGAAGTTACTCACCGGCATCCCTGCCTGACTGCATGACCGGAGCTTCCTCTCTCGGGGGACAACTTGTCTGAGGTCAAGTCTGCTCTTCCTTCTAGCACCTGTCTCAGACTCTCATGCTGAGCCTTGTCCGTGGACACCAGGAAGACACTGTGCCCTCTGTCCCCACCCCAGTCAGGGTGCACCTGACACTCACCCCACGCACCAGACTTCTGGAGAATCAAGGCCGCTGCTGGGGACTCAGGGTCCTATTTCCTTCAGGGAGGCTCCTGGTTCTAGGGTGTCTTGTCTTCCACCTTCTGCCTGTCTGGTGGGTCTGGAGCACAAGGTCAAAGTCTGGAGTGGTGGACAGGGCACAGTTCGAGGGGTGGAGCTCGGCACTGCTGCTCCCAGGGTCCAGCCCCAGCCACCGGGAGACTTTACCTCCCTTTCTGGAAGTCACTGAGAACTGCAGTCACTGAGAACTGCCTGACTTTCCTGGCTGATCCCAAACCCCTGTGCACAGGCCAGGGGGAAGAAAGGGGGAGGGAGGGCTGGCAGGTGGGCGGGATTCTTGGAGAGCTGATGGGCACAAGGAGGTCAGTCTCCCTGGCCAGCTGGAGACAGTCCTCTACTTCCCACTTCCACTGGCAGAGGGAGGGTCGTTCCCTGGGCCACCGTGGGCCTGGCCTGCAGGGTTGGGGGTGCCGCCTGCAGTCCCTGAGTGGACACCAGAGGCACAGGACGGGGGCTTGCAGGCCAGCCAGCCCACTGCCATTCTGGGACACTAGACAGACGAGGGACTTGAGGGGATGCCCGTTGGGGCTGTGAGGATGTGTGGCTCTTTGCTCCCGTATCCCAGAGACGAAAGCGGCAGCACTCCAGACCCTTCCTCTGCCAGGGTCAGACCTGGAGTGGGAACTGGTGGATGCCAAAGGTCACTGGGCATCTGTCCATACAGATGGGAAGACTGAGGCCCGGAGAGTGGGACGAACAGGTCAGGGGCAGGCATCCTTCAGGTCAGCTTTGGCGGCCCAGCCTCCACCACCCTCCCTAACAGCATGAGCCAACAGAAGGGCGAAGATGGAAGAAGATGCATGCAAGAGATTCAGTGTTTAGTATTTTTTCTTCTTCTCTCCCTCCCTCCTTTGCTTGCTTGCTTCCTTCCTTTCTTCTCTTCTCTTTTCCTTTCCTTTCTTTTCTTTCTTTCTATGATTTTTTTTTTTTAGTTTTAGACTTTGAACCCAGGGCTCTAACCATGCTACACAAGTGCTCTACCACTGAACTATACCCCAGAGCAATTATTTTTAAATTTTTAATTATTTCTTGAATTTTGAAACAGGGCCTTGCTGAAATACCCAGGCTGGCCTTAAACTTACGATCCTTCTGCCTCAGCCTTCCAAGCAGCTGAGATTAAAGGCGTGAACCACCATATCTGGTTTATTTCCCTTTAACAGTAAAAAGTGGAGGGGTTGAATCCCACCTTTTACTCTGTATCCTATTTCACTGGAATTTTTTTTTTACAATAGTCATGTATCACCTTTATTATCATACAATCCTAGTGAAGTTCCATGTGGCTCTAATTCATCATGGAGCATATAAAATTTCACAAAAATTAGCTATATTTTCATGTTCCTCCACTCCCTTCCTAGCAATGATTTATATTTTGTGAATTGTGATGTACTACTTCTACCTACATTACCTGAATTTATATCAAAACATCCTTTTAAGGTAGGTGCTGTCATTACCATCCCCTCTTCACAGCTGAAATTCAAAAATACGTTCATAGTATCCACTAAAATCAAACAAAATCCTATCTTAAGACCCAGTGTCCCTGCAGGGCCAGAGATGTGGCTTAGCGGTGCCGTTTCTGCCCTTGCAAGGGCAAGGTCCTGAGTTCGTTCCCCAGTATCGGGGGTGGGGGGAGACCCAGCGTCCCTGAGGACATGTCAGTAAGAAGGCTGGTATAAGAATGATCCTAGTGGCTGGACGTGGTGGCTCAGCTACTCTGGAGACTGAGGCAGGAAGATGGCCAGCTTGAGGCAAGCCTGGGAACTTAATGAGAACTTGTCTGAAAATAATATAAGAGGGATGGGGATATAACTCAGATTTCCTAGCATGTATAAGGCCCTACATTCAGCCCCCAGTACTGAAAAAAAAATTCTAGCCCCAAACTGGAAACAAGACAATCTATCAGCTGCAGTGGAGAAACTGTGGTGTTTTCAAACAATCACATACTGGAACATTATACCTTAGTAAGGAAAAGGAGAAATACAGCCATATAAAACAATATAAATGAGTCTCAGTCTTTAGGTTTTTTTTTTTTTTGGTACAGGGATCGAACTCAGGACCTTGTGCTTTTGAGGCAGGCGGCAACACCACCGAGCTAAATCCCCAGCCTGAGTCTCAGTCTTGTGTGGAAAAGAGAAGTCAGACACACAATAGCAGGGGCTGCATGCTCCCAATTTTATGGAATTCAAGATCGGTGAAAATCAAGTGACAGAGTCACAGGACATGGGAAGAGTGATTACTTCTGAGGCAGGAGCCTTGTGGGGAGAGGTGGAAGAATATGTTCTGGGATACTGGAAAGATGCCCTTAACTTGGGTAGTGGTCACAGGCATGTATGCATGTGTTAAGATTCCTAAAGTTCCATGTTCAGAGTTGAGATTATGTGCTTGACACAAGAAGAAGGAAAGAGAGAGAGGAGGAAGAAGGAAGGAAGGAGGGAAGGAGGTAAAGAGGGAAGGAGGAAGAAGAGAAGAAGGGAAAGAAGCAGAAAGGAAGAAAGGAAGAAAGAGAAAGAAAGAAGGAAGGAAGGAAGAGAGGGGAGGAAGAAAAAGGAAGGAAGGAAGGGAGAGAAGGAAGGGAGAAGAGCATGGGAGAAGAAAAGAACTTGCTCAGTCACACTGCTTATGGAAGCTCAGTTTGAAAGTCAAGTTAAGATTGTCAAATCTATTTTATTTTATTTTTTGGTACCGGGGATCAAACTCGGGTCCTTGCACTAAGATTGTCAAATCTAACAAATGAGTTCCAAGACAGTATGACCTGTACTACATCTGCTGGTCCTCACTGGCTGAGTTTAGGGCTGGGGAATTCAGCCACCATGCTAAAGCACTTAACTGAGGGCTGGAGAAGGACCATAGGCACCCAGGCTGGAGGTTAGCTGTGGCATCAGGGAGCTCTGTGCTGGTACACTTTCAGAATTATTATTATTATTATTATTATTTTGGCACCGAGGATCAAACTCAGAACCTTGCACTTGCCAGGCAGGTGCTCTTAGTATTATTATTTAATTCAGGAAAATAAGATTAGGAGAAACCTATTGTTTTGTTTGTTTGTTTTTTGAGACAGAGTCTCACCATGTAGTTCAGGCTGGCCTTGAACTCACTATGTAGTCCCCACCGGCCTTGTACTTGCTACAATCTTCCTGCCTCAGCCTACTGAGTACTAGAATTATGGTATGTGCAACCACAGGCAGCAACACTGACTGTCTTTATGATACAAACACATGTCTGTAATCCTAGCTATTTGGGAGGCTGAGGCAGGAAGATCACAAGTTTGAGGTTAGCCTCGGTTAGTTAGCAAGACACTGTCTCCAAAAACAAAAACAAAACAAAACTGCAGAAAGTAAAGTTCCACAGAATCTTCTTGGCCTTTGGCATAAGGAAAAGATATCCCCCCAAAAGGATGTGAGATTCGTTATCTTTATCAGGAAGTATGAATCTAAAAAAGAAAAAGAATCCATCAATTTACAATTAGGGAAGCTGGGCGTGGTGGTACACACCTGTAATCTCAGCACTCAGGAGGCTGAGGCAGGAGGACCAACCTGAGTTTGAACTTTTTTTTTTTTTTTGGTACCGGGGATCGAACTCAGTCCTTGTGCTTGTGCAGCAGGCAGTGAAACCACTGAGCTAAATCCCTGGCCCAACCAACCTGAGTTTGAAGTCAGCCTGGGCTACATAGTGAGTTCAAGGCCAGACTGAACTATATATAAGGAGACCCTGTCTAAAAAAAAAAAAAAAAAGTTACAATTAGGGAGTCTGAGACCCACAGAGAGGAAAAGATATGCCCCAGATCCCCAGGGCTATAGGGGTCACTCAGAGAGCCAGGTTAGAGCAAGGCCCTATCTAGCACCCTCAAGTCCAGAGATCTTTGGTAAGCATAAGGGGAAGCTCCAGATCTTTGGAAGCGATGTCTGTTAATTTGGCCAGAATTGGCCAAAAGAGTCAAAAGTCCTGTTGACTCACTGGCTGGTTGATGAATAATGTGACCTCTTAATAGCTCAAAATACACTTGGACTAGAGCAGAACCTTGGAGAATTCTCTATAGGAGTGAGAACTCAGGGTGAGGGAGGGGTATGAGGATACAAAACAAGCTAACTCTCTCTCTCAAATGAAATTGGCTTTATTATAACTTTTCTAAGTACTGCAATACCCTCTGTTAATTTACATAACACAGAAAGCAAAAAGAAGAATCAACTGCAGCCAATCCCACTGATAGAGAAAATTTAAACTATAGGTTAGTTATTAAGGTAGCTGAAGTAGAATAAGTAATCCATTCCTTTACAATTTACCTTTCCCGTAACTCTTACTGTTTAAGGTGATGGCTAACTGAACCTTTGACCTGTAACCTAACTGTAGATAACATTTAACCTGGAGAAAAGCAAAGCAGAAATGTTTGGGTAGTTTACAATGTATGTGTTTTAGGCGCCATCTGTTTGTTGTATGTCTGTGACTATAACCATTAACAGGAACTAGTTGTAAAAGAGAAACAAATTTTACTGACTAAGACCACCAGGAATGAGGTAATGGCTAAAAGAAGATATAAAAGGAAATGTTAAAACAAAGGAGGGAGCGGACATTGATCAGACAAGTTTCTGGTGGTCCCCCCTCTCTAGCGATTAAAGGCTTTGTTTTTTTTACCCAACTTCTGTGTCTCTGTACATTTCTTTTCGCGATTCTGGAACACCACCACCTGGAAATGTCAGCCATCTATTGGGCAAATATCTCCAAACTTTAACATAAACATATGAAGTGGTGACAAAACATACTGTGCATGCTGTTTCCTGCCTTACACTTTTATCAATATGGTGTATTGTCATATTGGTCAGCTTTTTCTGTGGCTAGGACCAAATACCTGATACTGCAACTAAAGGAGGAAAGGCTTTATTCTGGCTCATGGTTCACAGGTTCAGTCCATGGTTGGTTGGCTCCAAGGCAAAAGCACCATGGTGGAAGAGAATGGTGGAGGAATGCTGCTCAATTCAGGGAATCTGGGAAGCTGAGAGCTGAAAATTCAAGAAAGAGTCCAGGGATCAGATATAGTCCCCAAAGCACACCCCCACAACTCATTCCCAATATGCCCCAAAGTATGTTTATTTATTTTTGTTGTGTTTTGAGACAGAGTCTAGCTATGTAGTCCAGGCTAGCCTGAATTATCTGTATAACCCAACATAGCCTCAAACTGATAATTCTTCTGCCTCAACTGGGACTACAGGCATGTGCCACCACACCCAG